CTGTCTGACTGTACATACGTACTGTCTGACTGTACATACGTACTGTCTGACTGTACATACATACGCAACTAGTCCCTGAGCTTTTGACATGTGCTTTTCTCCCCGCAAAGCTGGTCATTTCTTGAAATCGCCGATATCGAACCACTACGGCAAATCGGGCTACTATAGCACATAGCTGTCATACAAACTGAACGAAGAAAATCAAGTGCTCTAATGGAAAACTTTATTTGTAGAGATATCTTCACGAAATTTGGCATGAAATATTATCCAAAGCATTGCAACTAGCTCCGAAGAAATTGATCGGACCTCTATATTATATAGCTGCCATATAAAGTGACGAATCAAAATCAAGACAAAGACATTTTTATACCCTTTTATGGTACAATAAATGCACCTGTAAAGGGTATTACAGCTTTGGTACAACCGAAGTTTATGTTCTTTCTTGTTTTATATACAAATATTTTATTTTTAACTAAATGGCCTTAATCAACCACCAACTATCCAAAATAGCTTGCATTGCAGTACATAAAAGTGAATAGGAATTATAAAAAAATATGTATTACAAGCACTATAAACACAGTTGTTGGTTAAACGCCACGAAATATTATTATTTAAGCGCCGTTGAAAGCCGTTCGCCATTAGGTGGCAACCATAAAATCTGCAAACAAATTGTGATTGCCACATAGCGCACCGTGTTCGCAGCATTTATATTTATATATATATATGTATTTATGTATGCATGTATTAATATTTTAATAAAGCTGATGATACCAGTCTGTTGACCCAAATTTTCGGTGCCACCAAAGCATTACCTAGAAAAAGTGAATGAATACAACTTTGGCGCGCTCCACAGTGGTGACCTGTGGCAGTTAGCCGGTTGCTGCTTGGTGTGGCGCTGCCACTTTAAAGTGCCCGTCTGCGCTTACAAGTAGTTTACGATAGAACTACTTTCCTACTTTTGTGTGTGAAAGAGCGAAAAAAGCGTGAAATAATTGCGAAATGTGTCTGAGAAACCTGTTGGCTTAGAACCAGTAAAGCTGGCTGTTTATAACGCTAAACAAGTGTAACAAATCAAACGAAGTTACTCGACACATAATGGCATATAACATTAGAATACATAAATATGTGTGTATATATGTTTATTTGAAATATCATTTCATGGTCATCTGCAGCAAAATTCTCCGCGCTTCGCACGCATTTCCACTTAAACGCTTAACGGCTTGTGAAAGCGCGTAATTATAACTGCATAATGTTCTAAGCGCAAACTAGTCGGTATAATTTATGTACATATGTATGGGGAGCATGCGGCACCGCATACAAAATAATGAACTGATAAGTCTGTCTATGTTCGTTCTTGCGAAAATTAAATGTAATATTGTGCTTTATTTAAATTGTTATGATTTCGTGTTGATTGGAGTGGCATATGAATATGTAGATATGAAGACGTAAGCAAAGCTCGTGTGACGGGTTAAACTTGGTCATACCTAAACGGTTGCCATTTTTATCATCTGCGATGTGTTTGGCCAAATTAGGCAACCATTAAGGGGTTACATGGGTTTCGTCGAGCAAAAACGCGCTATTTTCAATAATATTTTTTTCATATAAAAAATTAAATATTTTATTCAAACTTATTATTATTCCAAAGATACATATTTGGTTAAGATTTTGTGAATATTCAAAACAAGACGTTATTTCCGGCAGTCACTCGGAAAAAGGTGCACCCGCGTTGACAGCAGAATTTCTGACAGGATCAACAAAAGTTAAAAGAAAATAATACGTGCTTGAACTAAGACCATTAACAGGTATTGGATCGAGAAAAAAAAAATAAAGTGAAAATTGTATTTTTGGCAGACTTCTAAAAAAAAACGCAAATTTTGGTGAACATTTCTCGACGTGTTTTTGTTTTAAATAATTTTAATTCAAGACCTTGTAAAGAATATCTTGAAGACCTGTGTAAAACTTCATTAAGATCGGTTGAGTAGCTCGCGAGAAATCTTGACAACCAACTTTGAAAACACGGTTTCGAGAAAAATGCATTTAAAGTTTTAAGTGACTATATAGCTGACCTCGAGCGCTCAGCTTTTCTAGACTGTATACTCAGATTAAGTTGAGAATTTGGTACAATATTCTAGAGATGTTATAGAATTAAATAAGACAATAATAAAAAAAGTCGATTTTTTTAAACTGTGAAACCCATGTAACCCTTAAACTGACTGTAGCATATGGGAAAAATTGGGTGCTCTGGTAATTCTACATGCACTTTAACTAGCTGTAAATATTGCAAAATCACGAAGTTTAAAGGGAATCATGGTAACTTTAAGCTTTGTTATCAAGTAGTCGAAGGAAGACATTACCCTGTGATCAAATATGACCCGGACTGGTCCGAAACTCTACACTGGTACTATTTGTGCGTGTTTGACCGCAGTTTGTTTACGACATGAGAAGTTTGTCTGGCGATTATTACCATTGACAAAATTTCAGCAACGAGTTTGCTTGAAATTTTATGTTGTAACTGTACTTTGTAACGAAAACAAATATTTGAGTGCCACAGAGCATTCAATAAAAGTCGTGAAGTCATCAAAAACTTGCCTCATGTGAGTCGTGCATCCAGCTCCGTTAATGACGATAACATCTAAAAAGTTAAAGAAAGGTTCAAATTCGTCGTGTTGGTATCAGAGAGATAGCATAGAATTTCAACATCACTTTTGAATCGAGAATTTGAATCTCCAAAAATAAAGCGAAACCGGAAAAACCAAAATCAGCTAAAGACACTGAAGGTCATTTCAACCGAGGTTTATAACATGTGTCAGTCCAGTTCAAATTTGATCGGATAGTATATGTAATGTAATAATAAATATTTAACTTTTATTTTTTTTCCAATTTCATTAACTCAAGTGCAGCACACTATTATATATTCGATAAAATTTTAGTGAAAATACAGTGTTTCCTATTTTAAAGAAATTCAAATATATTATTTTTGTCAAAATTAAAAAAAAAACCCAAATATAGAGTAGAATTGTAATATTTCTTGTATAATTGCACTTACCTTGCATTAAAAGCAATTTCGCTCACATGTATTGTACTCTTTTAGTCGTTGATATAACCTTAAAAACATATATGAAACGTTTTCTTTATCTGAAAACAAAAATTAAAAAAAATTAGGAAACTGCTGAAAATTACTTAGACATATAAAGATAAAAAATAAAATCGATCAAATTTAAAATTTTCTATATAAAACAAGTATATTTATTAATAGTATGTGAATATATTTTATTACAAATAAATAAATTTTATAATTTCTTTGCTCAAATATCGCTTTCTACCTGTGATTAGCATATCGATGCAAAAAAAAAAAAAAACATGCATTTAATATTATATATCATAGTCATATTGTTGAAATCATTCATTCAGTTTTCATAAATTTTCTCAAATATTTTGACAACTACCAAAATATACTTATACATAACATAGTATAAGTATAGCATATCATCGCATAACACCAAATTTAGTCAGTTCCAGGTATATGCTACCTCACATTTTTGCAGCTTCCTTATTTCGATAGTTCAAGTTCAACCACATTGAAAGTTGACATTTTTTTCAATTATTTATATTATTTTTATATTTAATCTATTGAAAAAATACCATAATTTCATATGCTGAAGTGTTTACTCGTATACTATATATATAGAAAATAAAATTCATGCTGCCATATCTGTCCGAAAGCAATACGCACAGACGCTAGTATTGTCAAAGCTACGGCTACCAGACTCATTTGATTAACGGAATAACTTTCATACTTCACATCTGAGTGGAAAATACCTAGTAGAGTGGAACCAATGTGTATGTAGCTCCCTCCTCAACACCGTCTCCATTGACACCTGTCAAATCATATCGCAAAACAGCCATAAATGGGCGCGGAACATGTTTAATTTATGCAATTTCCATTCGAATTAAAATATGTACATATATGTATTAGCGTTTGAATTATGAGTGTAAGCTCGTTCAGGATTGTTTATCTTCTTTTGGAAGTAGTGAAATATAATTGTCGATAGTTGGAGATTATTATGACATTGAATTGTTCATATGTAATTAATTATGGCGCGTTATGGCGGCGTTGAGGTGTATGACGAGTGTAATGACGATCATTTACAGATTTTAATTGCGTTACTAATTATTATTACTTAAATATTATTATTATATAGTATGGAATATTTTATATTTATATTTGTATAAAAAATATCCATCTTTTCAAAATAATTTTTTTTTCAATTAAAAATTATAATTTTATCATTAGAAATCGACTTTGAAGTATATTTAAAATTAATTTTTTTATATTTTATTTCTTTCATAGTCGTTTTTATTATTTTTTTTACAATACATAGGTATTTACATACTTCTTTATATATAGTACATATCGGCCCACATTTCAGTTCACTCATATTATATTATATATATACATACAGCTTAGGCCCTGTCGTATATTATATTTTAAGCAAGCAACCTTAACATTTATATTAAAATTGTCGGTTTTGCGGTTTCTTACGATTGCTTCTTGTCATTGCAACTAATTTCCATATAGATATTTTTTTATCGTCCGCATTACCTGTCTTGCTATAATTTTATGGTAATGCAAATTGTCGCACAGCTGTTTTAGTTGTAGTTGTGGTAGACTTTGTTGCTGTACTAGCGCGCCACCGCAATTCTTGATTTGCAACAGTTAGAAAAACCTAATTTCCTCGTTGAAGTCATTAAATGCGCATATTTTTACGAATTTAACAAATTGCCAATTAGAGCAAGAGGTAAACAAGTAACTGTTGCATGTAAATATTTTGGTTATGTATTCTTGTGGCGGCTCAAATTTAATACGTGTGTGATTCCATTTTAACCCTACCTCAATGACGTTGGGTCATAATGACCTCTGTGCTAAATATATTTAAATATATGGTTTTTACTCTATTTTGTATATTAAAAAAAAAACAATAATATTAAAAAAATATTAGAAAATTTAATGGTAATATTGAAATATTAGAACACCTTGCTATGAAAAAAGCTTTTTAAGAGCTTTGCAACTTAGGTGCTTAATTGAACTCCATTTATAGAGAATTTAAAGTCGAAGAGTTAAAACCGATAATTTTTATTTGTATAGCCTTTCAATACCTCTAATCATCTGAATAGTTTTGTTATCGTATATTAGTAATTAGTTAAGTCCAAGCACCTAAAAATAAAACAGATGCCCCTTGCCTCGACTGAAATTTTTGATTTTTTTTCGTTCATAGGTCATTGTACGGACAATAACTTCTAGTACAGAATATTTATTTTTATTTATTTTAACGTCGTCAAAGTGTAGCATGAAACATTTTTATTTTGTCTATAAAACAATGTTTCTTAAAAAATATATATTTTGTGTATTCTTAAAAAATATATATTTAAAATTTTAAAATAAATAATACAGTAGTTTGTTTTAACCAAAAAAAAATCTCACTTTTTTCGGTTGTCAAACCTGCTCCTTCAGATAAAAGATAAATGATTGGTGATAAATACAATAATATAGAAGGAAATTTAAGAATGAAAAACCATACAACCAAGAAATGATTCAGTGGAGAATTTCCTGAAAGTTCCATTATATCAATTTAACATTTTTATTTTCGTTAAAAAAGTCCAAAAGACACAGCACAAATGTCTTCATATGCACTCAAAAACGTCTAGACAAGATGTAAATGCTGGTTATACATAACAAAGTGAAATTTAAGTCACTATAAAAAACACACACTTTTTAAATCACTGCCATTTTTCAAAATCAGTCCATCACACTTTTGAAAACCACAAACATATAGCATTAGTTTCCATGTCACACCTGTCAAATAGCCATTAAATGCATGTCGTCTGGTTAAAATGCGTCACAATATAGTACTATAAAGTCGCTAAAAATGTTGTATTATTTTTAAGATGATTACACCTAAAGATTTTTGTTTTGACAGCAACAACACAACACTTCAAAAGTCTGCAGTTTATAAATACAACAAACTATGCAAATAATCAAAAAAAATGTTTAAAAAAATAAAATAAAAGTAATCTCGCATCATTCGGCAAGGCACGTGTTTGCGCTTTTTAGCCGAGTTTGCTGATTTATCTGGGAAAAATTCGTTTCAGCAAAATCGTCAGAAAAATAGTTGGCATAAACAGCATTGACAGTTCACGCGTCAACTGTAGGGCTGCTTAGTATAAAAAGAAATTACTTAGCGTGTGCACAAATCAGAATTCAGAATTATTCTATGACGTCAAAGAACGTGATGAGTTCAACTCATATATATTTTTTTATTTTAGATATTAAAAACTTATAGTTTATAGTTTGTTTGCTGATAATATTTAATCCTAGTGGCATTCTGGAACATTTATTTATACTTAAATATTTTGTATTTCTTAGTTTTGAAATATTATATACATACTATTATTATTTTTTTAATAAAAAAAAGAACCACTTCTTTAATTACAAATTCTCTCCCTTTTTGCTATTTGCAGGTATGGCGGCTCCGCTCAACGTGGCTACGAAGCGCCCGCTTGCGTTCAGAATGCAATGGTGACAAAAGACAAGAAGCCATTCACCTACACACCGGGCGGCATTGATCTCTCACAAATCAAATCGGAGCGCATGGCGAAACGTTTGGCGCGTAACGCACAAGCCGAAGGCGCCACGGGCGCCTCACAACAGAATAGGCCGACACAGCCGCAATCGCCGGGCAGTGGCGGCAATGCTGCGTCGCAAATCGGTGCCGCCGGCATGGGTATGCCGTTCCAGGTGTTGCCACCGCCGCCACCACCAGCGCCAACCGGAGTAGCGGGTAAGAAATTGAATGGCACATCCGCACCGCCACCACCACCACCACCTAGCTCCTCCAATACATTAGCACCACCACAGAATGGCGGTGGACCGGGTAGTGCGCCCGGTTCGCCCAACGCGCAACGCAAGTCGCCCACACCGCAACGTTTCGAACCGCCACCATTGGGTTTCCGACCGGAAATCAAAATACCGCCAAATCCAATGGCGGCATTGCGCAAAGTACCACCGCCGGTGGAGAAGAATAACTTCTGGAAGGATGAGTATGTGCGCGATCGCTCCAAGAGTCCCATGGTGGGTGAAAATGATCGTGCTAGTTCACCGAATACCGGTGCTAATGGTCATGCCGTTAGCGCCGCTTACGGTGAACCAGCTACGGTCAGTCTTAACAACAAACTGAACAACAACAACGATGCCAACGAACATGTCGATGGTGAGAAATGCGCGTAAAAAATTATGCTATATATTTACGGTTCATCACTTCATCCTCACATCAACAACGCTTTGTATGGGTCTAACCTCGTTCCTCTTTTTCTTTGGTGGTTTGTGCATCGGCTGAAAGTTATTTTCCATTACACAACTACTCAAATTGTAGAGGCTAAAGGGTTCATGGAAGAATTTGTTGATCACGAATCCCAAACAAGCCTGACACATGCTAATACTATAGAATACTTTTGCTTTGTGGTTTATGGGTGCCAATTTATACATGGTACTGGTACAGTTTATAAAGTTCGCTACTAATTAATATTTCAGCAAATAAACTGGGTATACTAATCCTTTAAATGGTGTTGGCGCCGCTAACTTTCACGAATCACACGCTAACTTTATACCAAACCAAATTCTAATGATTCCGAAAACTAACCTCAAATTACAAAATAATTTTCTGAAACACAGGTGTCTAATATTTATTTCTCAATCATACAACAGGTTACAAGAAACCAACAACGACTACCCAGCAACCTGAACTTAACTATAACAGCAACAACTCCACTCAACAACAACAGCAACAATTCACACCGCCTCAGCCGACATACTCACCATCTTATCAGCCATTGCAGCAGCAACCACAACAGTCCCAATATAACAACATCACACCACCCTTGCCAGCTTCATCGCCAGTACAACAAATACAGCAGCAGCAACAACAATCGCCACGCCCTGAGTTTCGTAGCGTCGCACCGCCTCAATCGCCAAGCGTTAATGTCTATACGCGCCAAACGGACAGTCCACGTGCCGAAACTGGCACTCCGCCACAACGCGCTACCGATAGTCCCTTCAGATATGGTGGTCCACAACCGCAACAGCAGCAGCCACCACAACAACAACGCGCTCCACCAGCTATTTCCCCGCTAGCACAGCAGCAACCATCAAAGCTGTATACTTCATCACCAACCGGCGCTGGAGTTCCGGCACAATCAACAGCAGCAAACAATTCTCCCAACTCACAGCCAGCGGCACAAACTGTGCCCTGGCGCACTCAACGTACTCCGACGCAACAACAAGCACAGCCGCAGCAGCAACAATCGGCTGCGATATATAACAATGTTTCGCCACAGCAACAGCAAAGTCAGCCAGCTTCAGCCTATCAAGGTCCCAAACCGGTAAGTGGAGTAATAAACCATACAATTATGCTCAAAATTTTGTGAGAGTCTTCTCAGGTTATATTTACAACAACATTTAAACCAGAGGGTGTCTGTAGAATATTATAATTTGTCAACTAGATCAAGGTTTTTAGACATGTGAAACAAGAGAGAGAGAGAGTGAGAGAGAGAGAGAGAGATACTTAATTAAATAAATAAGCTCTGTGTTTTCTGTTCTCATACTCAACTTTAGAACTAGAATATAGTTACTATATTTACTTACATTCCAAATTTAGAATCGAAATTAGTCGATTTTTGATCCTTTTTTAAAAGTGTGTTTTTGGGTACCACAAAGGACCACTCTACGACTTATGCTGAAGACCGAGTAACTCGAGGCCAATAAATTCAATATATGCTTTTGTAAAGCTTATCCAAAGAAGTACTTTTAAAAAATTTATTTATAAAATATTTTTTCAATTAAATAAGATCATTTTACATATTACTTTTTTCGAAAAGCTCAGCGAACGGGTTTCTGGAACTCAAATCTCTCTGTTAAAGTCAAATATAGCTCAAGAATCGTAATAAAACGATATTTTGATTAAATTGTTACCATAATGGTTAAATAAAAAACATTTAAGAAAAATAGTTTTAAAGAGCAATCATTTTGAAAACTTTTCTAAAAGACTTAAGAAACGTTAACTTCGGCTGTACCGAAGCTATAATACCCTTCACAGGTGCTTTTCTTACAGCAACTCTATGTACAACTAAGAAGTCTGTAACGTAAACGTAACCGTCAATGGTTCGCATCCAACCGAAAACGGTTTGATAGTTCTTTGCAGCGACGTTATTTGATATAAACAACCTTCAAGTCGAAATAATGTTACTTAATAAGGATAAAAGATCTTTTTCTTGATTCTGCTCGGTTAGTTTGAGTGCCAGCTATATGCTATAATGGTGCGCTCTGAACAATTTGTTCGGAAATTGTGTAGTTACCTTCAAATCAAAATGTCAAATAAAAACGTTTTCCATACAAGGGCTAGATTTTGATCAATCAGTTTGGCAGCTTTTTTCTAAAATGCTCCCAAAACGCAGGTTCCGACAAATGAGCTTCTTGGGAAGAAAACAGCCTATGCAAAATTTCAAACCAAAATATCAAAAACTGAATGAATGGACTCAGCGTGTCTCGCTGATCTTAATATATAATATATAACTTTGTGGAAAATTTAATATACCCTGTTCAGGGTATAAAAACACTCACAATACCTTAATGTTTGTTAGAAATTAGTATGAAATTACATATAGAGGTACATTCATAAATATTTGTGCGTCGAAAAATGCAAAACTTGCGGAAGCTTCTATTTTTATCTATGGCGCGCTCTTTGTATTTGGTACTATGTACAAATGTATCTACACTAATATAGAATCTAATTAAAGAGTATACCAGAAATTTTCGCAAATATTTTTATGATTTTGTTTTGCTTCTTCACACAAATGTACAGCTATAAGGCTGTTGTAAATTCATTTGACAATAATTTCATTATGCAATCGTATGTTTGGATGCTTATTAACAGTTTTTAATTAAAGCTCATGCACAGTTTTGTGCAGTTGTCAGAAATTATTGTCGGAATTGATGTGATGGTTTTATGACAATTGACACTTCAATCAACCACATACTTTTGTACGTGCTTATTTATATGAAATTGGGATTCATTGATTTCGGTGTTGTATTCGTTGGCCCATGAAAGAAATATTTTCAATGTCAATGGCGATGATACACATCACCCTTTCTAGTTAAATTGAGTCATTTGTAAAACCTTTACTTTCTTTGGTTTGAACCTCACGTTGCCTAATAAGCGCCGAGTGCGTCGGTTCGTTAGTAACTTTCGTGTATTTTGAGCTTCGCGTATTTTTGTTTAGGTTTGGGTCCAGATCTCGTTGACGTCCTTCAACCGATTGTATTTTTTCAAATTCAGAGGTCTAGATCTCAACAGGTAATGTTTTACAACTTTAAAAAACTATTTCAAGCTTTTAATAGAAAATTGTACAAACTTTGTAGATTAATTTAAAATCAGATATTAATGAAAAATTTGCTCTAATGAACATTGCAGCAGGCCATCATCCCTAGTAAAACTCCCGAAAATTAGAATATGCCTGTATTATTGTTTCTCTTAAAATCTACTGAGATCAAAAAGCTTTTATCGAAAGTTTTTCAAGCTTTGTAGGTCCGAAAATTTTTAATAGCACAATTGTCAAACTTCGCTGATTAATTTTAAGTTAGATATCAGATCAGATCAGATCAACCCTAGAAAAGCTCTCCAATATTATAATACACCTGCTTTATCTTTTCTCTTAAAATCTGTACCCTGTGAATTCTATCAATTGCTATTACATCGAGTTTTAAACAAATCTTGAGATAGCCCTATAATCACTACCAGAAATCATTTTTCGCCAATAGCTGAGCTCGACTGTTTTATACAATAATTTTTCCATTCCTTGCTGTTTTCAAGATTATAAATAATACAAGTAATTCAACTCCACCCTGCCTCGCACAATTTATTTCAGACCAATGTCGGCTCACTCTATATTGCACCCTTGGCAGCACCTACTGAGCCGCAGGCACCCACTGTTGTGCGTCAATTTCAGCAACAGCAACAACAAGCACGCGAATCACCAATTCGTCAAATACCGCAGCAACAACAGCAGCAAACACCACAGCAGCAACAGCAAGCACAGCCTTTACGCTCCACTGTGCCTTGGCTGAGCAGCAAGCCGAAGCCAAACGATCAGCCAGAATGGGCGCGTCCCGAAGAAAATGGCAATGTGGTGCCTTCGTCGTTGAATCGCATTAAGTCGCCGCCGCCACCACAGCCACAACAACAACAGCCGATTTACTATCAACAACAGCCACAACAGCAACAGCCGCAACCTCAGCTCTACAGCTATCAGCCCGAGCAGGGTAACGGGTTTGCTGGAACAGCACCAACGAATTTCGGTGGCCATGGCATTGGCAGCACTGGCTTGCGCTTGCAAATCAATACCAACCCTATTGCCAATAATGCGTCAACTCAACAAACTGGTCCAAGGGTGAGTGACTTACGAAATTTTAATGAAAAATATGTATATGTTTGAAAAAAAAAAAACATTGCTTCGTCACAGGAACGCATTATACCCATCCAGTTAGAGCAGACACCGACGAATACATCGCAGCAACCGAATTTCAATGTCAGCTATGGTGGCATCACTACTGGTAATTGACTTTTAATAACTTCTAATTTCTCGACTTTCATTCGTAATCTCTCGCACAGCACCGAGCAGCTATGTGGCTCGTTCGCCAAATCAATTTGTTGATCAAGGTTACAACAATTTCCCACCCTCGGCTGGTGTTCAACAGCCAGCTGTTCAGCGTGTGATGTCACCCACACAGCAACTGAATGCACCACGCATTGTACAGCAACAACAGCAATATACGAATAACAACAATGGCGCTAGCGTTGGCCCTAATCGCTCACGCATCATACCCATCGCTATGGAGGGTGAGGGCACACGCGGCCCTATTTCACCATCACCAATCGTTTTGCAAAAGTAAGTGTGTAAGCTGTTGTGAAAAGCTTTGCGAAAAAGCTCGCAATTAAAAGTTCGTTTTTTTTTACGATTCGATCGGTTCATTTCATTGTTTCGATGGCACGCATTCCCATATATTCTTTCATTCGAATTTTTAGTAAACCAGACATAATTTAAGAAAGCTTTCACTAACTTTACGCTTTTTATTAACATTTTTATTCTTTGTTTTGGTATTTTTTTGTTGCCTCTGCTAATGGTGATCAAGTGAAAACTACAATCTGGTAGTTTACGATTGTCCACTTGAGGCGGAAATACGGTACAGAATGAATCGTCTCAGGTAGCGTGTGAGATGTAAAAAAATTGTATGTATCTTGTGTCACGTGTCAGTGTTGTTACAGTTTGTGTGTTTAGCATGAAGCAATCAGAACAAACACTTACTTTGACAGTCGAAAATAAAAATATCATAAAATCATATTTAACTCGTACACCTAATATGGCAATAACTTAAAAACCATATTTTATTTCTTGGCTTCACTTAATTTTCAATTATTTCAGAAGCATAATTTTTTCTTTCTTTTTTTCGATGTTTGATTCTAAAATGGGTTCTTACAATTGTTATGTGAAATTTCTAAAAAAAATTTGACAATAAATGTCTTTGAATTGCAGGATTATAATACCAATACCCCTCTTCAGAAACTCATTTCAGCCAACAATTACATTTCCTCCCAGTCCTGAGAACTTGTAAATTCCATTACTGTTTTAAATCTAATATTTTATAACCCTTCACTAATTCGGTATCCATGCGATTCATATTCAATTATTTTCAAACCAAAACTAGCTCACTGCTACTTCATCATTTTTTTATTTCTGTCGAAACTTTCGACGCTATTTGAATATTTTTCAGCACAATATTTATTATCCTAAAAAAGTTTGAGCTCTTTAAAACTTTCAATATTTTGCAGCAATTTCGCATTTCTTGAATACGAAGAAAAAACGTAATGTGTCACTATAGCTTTCTAAGTGCTATATAAAGTATCAGAAATCACTTAAATTATAAGTAAGATATTGGAAAGCTTTTTGAAAGTTTGGTTAAGCTCATCAGCTTTTGAGTATTAAGTTTTGTGTTTAGTTTTAGAAAACACAGAATTTCAGAAGTTACTTGAATTTTAAATAAGCCCTTCGAAAGCTTCTTGAAAGCTCAGTTAAGCTTATCAGCTTTCGAGTATTAAATGTTATGTTTTTTTTTTAGAAAACACAGAATATCAGCAATCACTCAAATTATAAGTAAACTCTTCGAAAGCTTTTATAAAGATCAGTTAGCTCTGCTTTTGAATATTAGGTATTATGTTTGGTTTTCAGAAAAGAGGATGTTTTAAAACGTCCATTAAGAGTGTAAGAACTCTCTAGCTCTAGCTCTAAAAGAGCTGAATAGTTCCACCTAATATTAAGAAAACTTGTCGAAACCTTCACAGAACACTTATAATTATTGAAAGCACTGTTAATCTAGACACATACCACATGATCCTTTGTCACTTAATCGCAGCACCGCTTGTGTTCGACAAGTCTGTATTTTTTACTACTAATCAAGAGAGTATACGCTACTAATCGACATCATCACTAAAACATCTAACCAGCAACTCGCCCACTTCTTCTAGCGATCCACGCTCGTCACCCATACAATCGAAATCCTTTAGAATTTTGCAAAAAATCACTGACACTATTGACGACGGTAACGGTGATGATAAGAAAGCGGAAAGCAATGTCGACGTAGAGCCACAATTACAACGACCACAATACGCGAGACAAATGAGCGCCCAACAGGCGCGTCAACAACCGAATGTAGAGCAAATGAGACGCATGCAAATCGCCGCCGATCCACAACAGCAGCAGCAGCAGTCACAAGCGCCACAGGCATGGAATCAAGGTGGGTTAAAACCCTGCAAAAGCTTAAAAACGACAGGGTACACAGATACCGGTAAAGATGTTGTTGAGAAGTAAATGTAAAAAAAAAAGAAAAAGTGGAAGTTAAAGGTGAAAGCTATTGTAAACAGTTAAATAAAAGCTCAACTAAGAAAACTTATGTAATTTTTAGGGCTCCATTACCACAATAACTTTGTAAATAGAATAATAATTGAAATCCTAATTGGGGAGTCTTAACAGGAAGGTAAAACAAGTATAATTGGTTTATATATATCTAAAAATCATTTGATTGCTGCAAAGCTTTTTAACGCGCTGTTGTTCAAAAAGCTTGCGGTTTTCTGAGTCACCTACTTTTTGAATAAAATAAAAGTATACAAATTTGAATACACTTGTTACCTCCTTAATTAAGCTTCCTTTGGTTAAAGCTTCATAAAACTATTAATGGTTTTTGGTGAATGGAAATTTTTAGCTTTTTTTAATAAAAGCACATTAATATTTTTAACACGCACACCACAACTACCCAAAACACATTTACACCACTGCACACATTTTTACACACACATATTCCCTACAAAATTTTACTTCTCTACCCCTCAATTTTACAAACATATATTTATATGTTTTATCTTCATTTTCTTTTCTTTTAGGTAATGCTTTAAAAAGCTCACAGCAGCACACTATTTACAATTTCAATGGTGAGCTTATTGCAAGCTTTCTGGACTGTAGTGTAGTAGTTTGTTGACGAAATGTGTTTTTGTACAAATTTGTTTTATTCTGTGCATTTAAAAACATAATAATTATAATTTTAGACATGCCACAACCATATATCCACCCTAGTGAACAACAAGTACCCGAACCGAAAAAATATACCGGTAGCGCAATACCAAGTCGATCGTTTAAAATTTTGCAAGCGATGACTACACCAGAAAATGCTGGTAAGTGCTTTTACATTCTCAAATGGTTAATAATTTATCGATAATATATTTATAAGTTTTATAAAAAATAACTGATTTAATTAACTAATTGTTTCATTAAAAGTTTGTGTCAAAAGTTAATAACTTATGCTAACTACAAAACGGTGAAGTCAGTGGATGAGGTTTTGACACAAGAAATAAATTGCAAAAAGTCTTAGGGTCTATTCTGTAAAAAGTAACCTGAGAGTATTTTATTACTTCGTAAAACATTTTACGCTTTCTTTGAGAGTTTTCGAGTTTTGTTTAGGTGCGTACATAGTTAAACGGTCTATCTATTTAAGGGTTTAAAGTCAATATCAGTAAAGGCAACCTCAAAAAAACCAAAGCTCTTTCTTAGTCGAATTCCAAACGGCCTGAATTTGTTATTATAAGTTTCTGCAAACTGTGATTAATATGATATTTGCATATATTGAGAACCCCTGTATTCTTTAAGGTCCACAATATCGGATTTCGCACCTTAGCATACCGAACTGAGGTTTGAAGGTACAATTTTCTATTGAAAACAATCAAAGTTCTTACATTGATTGGATCTTGAAGTCTTACTCTACATTTTCGTACCCTAATTAAGTACCGAAATATCGAAATCCCGAAACGACGGTATGTAATATTTTCCTAACAAATCACTATTGAAAATTAACATAATTCTCAAATTTATTGGATATTAATGCTTTATATATTAGCTCGTTCTTAAATGACCCTCACATAGCGGTTAGTTGAAAATTTTTATTGAGAGGACATTTTTGTGTACTTTTTAAGTCCCAAATAACAACACTCGCATTGCGGGATCCAGAAACTAGAGTGAGCAATTTTTTGCTTTACAATTATTGTTTTAAAATAATTCTGAAATTGATTAGTCGAACTGCGAACAACATTTACAAACTTCCTTACAAGGAGATTAATTTGAAATATTTAGTAAGAGCCCACAATTTCGATAGTTTTGAGTGCTTTTTACCGAAATTTCGAGATTTAAATTTCGGGATCCCGATATCATGAAATTTTTTTTTTTTCAAACTTAACAAATACAAGTCATAGTAATTTTTCGTAAGTTTGTATTAATTTTTTTATTAAGTTTTTTTATGGAGCTTTTAAGCTTTTAACCAGAGATCTCACTCAATTTGGAAGATAGCTCGAAATTAAAATTAATTTCTTAATATAAGTAGAATAATTGCTGTAAGAATGAGTGAGTGTAAGAAAGAGTGAGAAAGAATTGGAATATGAACATTAATGTTTATGAATCATTGAGGGACGCCTAAGTGTAGTGCAGCGGTAGCTATAGTCAGAATGACTTCAGCTCTGGTTAGGTTGATTCCCTAAAGACCTCATCTGCTGATACTGTTACACTCAACCAATCAAACACACACATATGAACATCAGAGACATACAAAGCAAACATATATAAATAACTATCAAAATATTATATTACATAAATTTTACAAAAATACATACATACACATATAAAAAAATTTTAATTTAAAAAATACACACTAACTGTTTTGCATTAGACTTTTATTTATTTATTTATATTATTTTTATACATTATTGTTTAGAAATTTTTTATGAGTTGAAGAGAAACTTCGCCTTTTTTCTGCAAAAAATTCTTATTTATAATATTATAAATAATTATATATAAATATAACTAGTTATGACACCTTCGTTGTGCCTTAAAGTTATTACTAAGAAATGAACCGCTTACCTTTTGAACGTTTGTAATTTAATTAATCGTTATGTAATTTATATTTATACATTAGACGTTTTTTTTAATTTATTTAAATTGCAAAAAAAACTAAAACTTATCCATTTGGGTTGTACAATTTCTTAAAAATAATATATATACTTATACTATATACCCTATATATATAATTAATAATAATAATATTTAATACATAACCAAACTTTATAAATCAATAATATTTTCAAACTAATTTGTATAATAGAAAATTATAATTGAAGTAATTAATGGTAATGTGCATGATAAAACATAAAAACTTAGAAAAAAACAATGTTTCTATAAATTAGCAAAGTTAAGAAAAACTTAAAATTTTTATTTAAAGAAATAATTTTTAAGCGTTTGTTATACCCTCTAAATGGTTTATTTTTAATTTTTTTTTTTTGTGTATGAGTTAGAATTATTGATTACCCAATATTCATTACACTTTCACGTCATTAAATCACTCGCTCATTCAACGCACACCTTAACTACATTCGTTTTTTTGTATGTATGTAGCATAATATTGGTTAATTATTTTTAGTAATTATAAATCGAATAAAATTCGTTACATTTTTACACATTTATTTAGCAGTCATTATGTTAATTATACTCTTCTTTATTTCTTCTTTTTATTCCGTTACATTCACTTGACTTAATTTTTCTCCTCAAAAATTAAAAAAACCAAAAAAAAAAAAAAAATAACCAAAAATATTTTAGCCGAGTTGGCAGCAACAGATTGTGTTGAATTGAACGAAAACCCTTTGAAAGCCAAAAAAAATCCAAGAAAAAATATTTTAAATAAAAATTGTACTGACAATGTGAATGAATATAATGAAGGCACATCCGAAATTACAAATACACATAGCACTACACACACTCCATCCACCACATCATCCTCATCCTCTATATCATCGCTAAGTTCCGACTCTTGCACATATCCCATACCTAAACATCCCTACCCCGCCTTTGGCTATGCATATCCTTATCCCTGGTATCCACCGCCGATGCCACCGACAAACGGTGAAGCATATCCGGCATGGCCGTACCCATACAACATGCCCCCACCACCACCACCTCCTTCAACACAGGCACAGACACCAACTAACGAACATAGCGGCAAAGCCCCGCCACATCCTGCATATGTCACACACTATCCCTACTATTATCCTTACTATCCCCCACCGCCCCCACCATCACATAACCCCCACGCTTATATGCAATCACCACATGCACAAAACCCCCCCAATGAATTTGATTCGCAAAATGCTTATCACGAACTAAATGCGAGCGCCGCATATCCCAGTTATGTGCCGCCATATCCATATCCCTACCCGGTAGCGCCAAGCTACAGTCAGAGTACGACATCGAGTCGCGCCAGCAGCGTATTGCCCGACATCATTGTTACGCCTAGCACGGATGATATGCCCTCACAGGTTATACTGCAACATCACATAAAAACCGAGAAGAGTCAACCGCCTAAGCGCAACGATGCCGTCGTGATCGAAGAGGTCGCTACGAGTGATAATGAAATGAAGCCGCAGGAGTTGAGGCGCGAACAACGTGAGGGTTCTGTTATTGATATGTTGTCACAACGTTTTGCGAATATGTCTAAAGTTGTCGAACATAACCTAAATATGAGCAAAGATGTCGAGAAGAACTACGCAGGCGAGCGTGATAAAGAATTTGGCGAAAAATCGCCGACGGATAACGCATCGCCAGTCCCAGTAGGTATTGTGACTTCGTGTGCTTCGGAGACGGAAGTGAGTTCGGACTCAGATAGCAGCAGTGATGAGGATACGGATGTGACGCCCAAATGTGTCGAAACGAATGGCTTGCGGGCCATAAAATCTGTCACAAATATACAAATCTACAAGAATAATAATATAAATATCAATGAGGTGGATGATGAAGACGATGTGACAACGGCTGACGGCGAAAGTGATATCTTCGATGAAGAAGATAATGAAGAAGATGTTGCTGAGGAACTGGAGTTGGATGAATATATTGAAGAAAATGATGATATGGACTATGATAACCTGAGTGTAATATATGAAGAGGAGAGCGAAATGGAACATAGTAGTGAGAAGCCGAATACAATTATACAACGTGATGGCTCTAACGCCAGTGATGCCACAACAGTTGAGCGCGACGACGCTGTGGAGCAGCAAATTGAGGAGAATGACAACAATGATGACGCAGAGGAGGACTCCACCTCGGTCACCGTACGTCTACCATTAAAGTTCTCATTTAACGATGAGAATATAGCCACTGTGGAGGTCGGCAAATCTGAAATCGAAGAAAGACGACATAGCACGTCTTCGGAAGGTAAGCGCAGCACTTCATTTGTTGTTGCGGAACTTAAAAATGATTCTGACAATGAAGCGGTAGAAACTTATGAGTACGATGATGATTGTGAAGTAAGTGTAACGATAAGCTTGAGTGGTTCGTCACGTTCTAGTTCGATGGAACGCAGTACCGACACACGTCGCGTCTCAGCAGCATATCCAATTGAAGAGCTGCCAACGCCAGAGCCGCCAAGCGCAACAACGAGTAACGAAAATGTTTCAGTGTCATTCTCATTAAATTCGCGCAACAAATTTATGGATCAAACAATCAGGAATGATGTGACCAATAATATAGCGACATTCAAAAGTGCGACAAAAGTAAAAGAAGAAATAAAGGAACCAGATATACGTACGAAACAAATTAAAGAGGAGCCTGTGGTGAAAGAATCAGTCACGCCAGTAATACCCTCCGACGATTTGGATTTCTTTGCTACGCTACGTGCAACTAAACTGCAGGCGCAGAAAATGATGGAACAATCAGCGAGCTATTGGGGCAAGTTAAAGGAAAAGGAGGAACCCAAAAAGGAAGAAGTAAACGAGGAAGTTGTCATCTCTACTGCGACAGACACAGAACCCGAGGTGGATGATATTTGGGCTGATAGAAATGATGATTTACCGAAACCGGTGCCGAAATTGAAATTAGCCGACGCCAAAGACGATTTCTGGTCTACATTTGCAGCGGCAACAAGAAAAACACACGAGGAAGCGCAAACAGAAGATGTTCTTGTAGAAAAAATTTCAGAAAGCATAGCTATCAAGAAAGACAAAGCTATCGTTCAGGTCCAAGTTAGACCTAATGACAAATTTGAAGACATGGTTGAAGCTAAAGAAAAGATCGAAGCTGTAGACGAATCGGAAGAAGTCGACTTTTGGGCAGAAATTGAAAAATCCAAGGAAACTAAGGCAATTGAGAAGAAACCCAAACTCAAAACTGCTACTGCATACGAGCGTAAAGAAATAAGTGAGGTTATGCATCGATCAAACACTATGAAGTCATCTACAAAGGTTTTACCAACAGTGCTACAAGCCGAGTTGTATACACCGCCTCCATCAGAACAGGTGGCAGAAGAGTCTAGCGATAGTGAGGAAGATGATTCTTTGGAAGACGAAAAAGAGGTTGATTATAAAAACGTGAATATTAGCAGAAAACTTTCCGAACAAAAGGCGACAGTAGAGGAGAAGGAGGATGAAGAAGACTTCTGGGCCTCTGTGGAGAAAGCTAAAGCGGCAATTGGTACAACAAAACAATACTCAACTCACGACAATATAGAAGTTGACTCAGCAGAAGCGGTTGCTGAAGAAATCGATTTCTGGGCTGACATTGAAAAGAACAAGAATATTACAACCATAATAAAAGATTTACCACCCACCTACAATGAGGAGGTACCATCAGCCCAAGATGTTGTTGAGGAAGTGGACTTCTGGGCTAACATAGAAAATAACAGAGAAACAATAGCTACAACTGAACCACGTTCAACGACCAACAATGTGGTGGCACCTTCAACACACGCCGTTGTAGAAGAAATCGATTACTGGACAAACCTTGAAAATAAGCCGGAAGCATCGCAGACTTCTCAACATATCTACGATCCCACACTTTACCCCGAAGAACCACGTGAAGTTGATACCGATGAAGAGATCGATTTTTGGGCAGAAATTGAAGCTAAGCATCAAGACACGGACGACGTTAATTTCTATAAATCTGCATCTTTTTGGGCCAACCGTGAACGCCATAATTCTGTCGATGAAACACCTTATTCTAAAGTACTACCTAAACCTTTCCCTGCTAACTTGCCCGATGAGCCAACTGTAAACGTGGGTCTATGGGCAGCATTAGAAGCCGCGAAAGGTGAAGAACCCGTATACATTGATCCAAGCGCAAGTGACATTTGGGAAGTGGCCTCTCTACACGAACCTGTTGTGGCAAATATAAGGGAGCCACCAGTAGTGACCAACGAGTTTAACAAGCCATACCAAGACCTCGAACAATGGATAAACAACAACGATAATAATGAAAATACTGAACCGGTGGTGGAGGAGAGCCCTAAACTTGAACGCGCCGAAGATGTAGATGACGCAAACATTAAGCGCAATAATTATCGGAAAGCTATGGCCTTCTTCACTACGTCGATTGACGAGCAGAAGGAAGTGAACGCCGAGAAAAAGCTACGAAAAGGACGTTCTTCAAATAGAAACTCGCTGGTCGGCACAGAAACCACGAATGCAAATGAAAAAGAAATCATAGAAAATGCAGTAAACAACTACTACAAAGAAACCCTTGAACAGTCTACAGCAAGAGGCAAAAGTGTCGGGGTGGACAGCGTCTGTACTGAAAATAGCCTAGAAAAATCTATTAATCAGGCAAGAGGTAAAAGCGTTGGTGTGGAAATCGAATATAATATAAAAAATACAGAGATACTTAGTGAACCAATTGCTACCGATGCATACACAGAACGCAATAAAACGCCCACTAATTTCGAGCAAACCCTACCCGAGGTTTATGTGGAGCCCATTGTGGAAAGAAAACGTTTACCTAACGGTTTACCAGATTTGGGTGTTAAGAAGGAAGAAGTTAAGATTTCAGTACGTGATAGAATCTCTGCTTTTGAAACTGGTGCAGTGGAATCGCCAGTCACAGTAAAGAAAACTGAGGATAGCAAAACACACTCACTCTCGGTAGAGAGCTGCACACCCAGAGGCACACTATCGCGTAACAGTTCACAACGTTCCGAGTCGGAAATTGAAGAAGATGACTCGGGTGTAACAGATATGAATAAACTACTTTCAGAAACTGACACCGAATCGGAAAGCTTTCCCGAGCTGCGTAAAATGAGCAGCTATCAACGCGCCGCCACACATTCCAGACTCTTTAAGCTGCTGCAAGACGACAACGATCCACTCGAAGACGAAAAGTTGAACAAGGAGCTCGCCGACGAGTATCATGCCAAACCCAGTCGCCGCAAGATCGTGCATAATGTATCCATTACACGTCGACAGAATCCGAAAGCGCTTACCGATGCCGAAACCATGTCGCAACGACGCGAGCGACTCTCTCTGCCACTACGTAAAAACACAAGCATCGATGCGGATAATCCCTCGACACCCAACAGTCCAGCCTCACCCATTATGGGACAGCCGTCCAGTAACACCAGCGTCAGCGATAAACTAGTCAATGAATTGGTACAGAGTTTGCTATTAAAACGCGATAGTAGTCATTTGCGTCAAATGCCTATGGAAAAGCTGCAGGCAGCTGCCAAACGTGTGCTTGAAGAAGAGCTAGACTCGTTGGAGAATACATCCGTCGAGACGACACCGGCACTCACACCAAACGACATCAAGAACGACAAAAGCTATGCCGACTACTATGATACGTGGTCGCACGCGAACGGCAGTGTGGACGGCATGCCACCGAAAGCATATCGCGCCTTGCAAGATGTGCCGCGACGTAGTCCTTGGTCCGTGCGTTGCCCACGTGTGCTTAGCTCGAAAACAATAAATCGCGATTTGGCGCGTGTAACCGAGTCGCCAGAAATTTTCGCGCGAAATAGCAAAAGTCCCGACTGTCTCTCGCAATCGCGCGAGGGTTCAGTGAGTCGTTGGCGCAAAGTTTAGCGCGCACAGAAAGGGCTCATTAGGGTGGCGGCACATACAAAGCGGGTGAGCGTCGTCAAAACTGGGGGAAATCGTAAATGCTTAAGTAAAATAGGTGTTTAAAATATAGTTGTAAGGAAATGCAAATAACGGTGATGCAAATTAAAAATTTGAAACGCGCTTTTGGTGCATGGCACCAAAAAAATGTAAAGAACTTAAAAAAAAAATTTAAAAAGTGTATAATTGCGACAGCTGAGCTGTAAGCAAAAGACACACATATGCAAGGAAACAATTTACTATAATTTATTAGTTTTTTTTATTAGCTGGGTGGTAGCACCAACTCGCACAGGTCAACAAACCCAACACTGCCTTTTTGCACTCAGTTAATGGAAAAAGTTTAAACATAGAAAAGTCGGCGCATGGAATGTGTTCAACTTTTAATTTATTGTAAATAAAAGTATTTTTAAATATTTTATAAAAAGCATAAAGTGAAAGCAGCGTTTAAATATTTTTTGTTTTTATTAAATACAAAACACTTTTTAAGCAGAATTTTACACTTAGCCAGCCAGATTTTGCATTTTGCGAATCATTCATGCTCTCAAAATAACCCAACAACAAGCACAGTCACATAAATCATTGAAACATAAAAAGTACACATTTTTGACAAAACAAACGAGTCAACAAAATATAAAAAAAAATCAGCATAATTAACTGTAAATCAAAAATAAAAATAGTAAAATCTGCAAAATTTCGAGAAAAAAACCAAAAAAAAAAAATAATAATTAATTTAAAAATCAGCAATAATAAAGTGGACAGTAAAAATACAAAGAAAAATCGTTCATTCGTTCGTTACCTCAGTGCCTTCATACAAGCATATATACAAACATACATACACACATGTAAATATGTGTTGTGAAATCATGAACTATTTGTATGTAAATATGTACAGAGCTAAATCGAGAAAATATCGTTAAATGGTCCAAACAGTCAAGTCATGCAATCAAACCACCTCAGTCAAGTGTAAAAATTATAGGTCAATCGAAATAAGACAAACACACACACATACGTAAGCACAAAGAAAAAGCGCGTAATCAGCAATTCGTCAGTCTTTTGTAAATTGCAAAACAAAATTTATCATAAAATGTTAATCCAAAAATTTTCTGCATCAACGAACAAAGTATTTTGCCAAGCTCATTCAAAATCCTAAGGTATCTAAAAGAAAACAATTCAAATTATTTTTTGTTCTCCAATTTTTGTTTTGCATAGATTAGTTTACGCAAAGCTGGCTTTTTTCCCTGTGCTAATCATCAAAATGTTTTCGTGAGAAAATCCACAGCTTTTAATTTAGTCAATTAGCAATGCCAGCAATTTGATAATTTACAAAATTAAGCGGTTATATCCACATGCAAGTCAGAAAATAAAAATATAAAAATGTTTTTTAATAGCATTTTATTTAAAACATATTTGATTTACTTGATCCCTTGGTCGATCTACACGAGAACCTCCAAAAATACGTGTCTGGCGGGGAGAGTTATTTTAGTGCTTTAAACTATCTCAAAACCAAAAACCAAAAAAGTGTATTATTACAATAGATGAATACATGTAATGATCGAAGGACTAGTAAAAATTTTGGTTTTCGACAAAGTAACGGCTTCCCAAAAAAAAATTTCTAAAAAATATTACACTTTGGAGTGGCTTACAAAATCGAAATTATTATTAAAAATTTTATTCCTTCTATCAATTCCTGACAAATATATCTAAAAGGTCGATCGAGAAATTTTTACTTAAACTGTGGACTCTCTAACGAAAACAAGCTTGCGCGCTTAGCTGCTGCCGCGCTCAGCCCAATCCATGTTCTAAATTTAACATATTTTCCAAAAGAAGTTAAAATATTTGCGATACATCAAACTATAAGAATTTCTTCTTCACAACCTGAAAGAAGGAATACTTTCATAAAAAGTCGTCAGTCTCATGTTGATATTAGAAACACATTAAATCATTTTGTATTTTTGTATTATTAATTCCAATAATATTAATGCAAATTAATTCTTGAACTACTCTCCTATTTCTTCAAATTTATTTTACTAATTGCAATTAATATACAAAAAAAAAATTTTAATAATAAAACAAAGTAATAATTGGAATTTAATTTTTCAATTGAAGGTTTGTATAATACAAGTATTGAACTGTTATTTGGCTAACTGTACTGTAATTAACACATTAATGCGACGTTTTAAATTCAATTAAATTGGCATTTAGAGTCTCTAATTTTGTATATTTATTTTTAAACGTCATTGTCTACATATTTTATCGCAAATATTTTGCTTATTACAAAAACAGGCTTTCATATTGCTTTTTGTAATTATTGAAAAAGAATCCTGCTATGATAAAATAAATTTTTGTTGTTGTATGGAGAGAAGAACTCCACCTTTGGCTACTGAGCGTGAAAATGAGTAAAGGAACTGTAAAAAAAATATCTCACTGAATTGCCGACGAAACGAATGAATAATTTTTCCTTTTATAAAATTTTCATAATCCTTATATGAATAATTGAAAATAAACCCTGTACTATACTTTGACTTGATATATATATATTTAACCGCATTAAATACTCGTTCGTTCGTTTTCTAAATGTTTTCTTTTAATTACTTTTTCAACGTTTTCCTTCTAAAACCGATTAACTTTTTTATAAACGCCTAATTTTCTTCTTATTCTATTTTAGTATAACAATTCTAATATAATTATTTATAATAAACTTTAATAGTTTTCTATTCTTTTGATCTATGAATGGCTTTACCGTTTAAGAATTTTTGAACATGAAGGCAAAAGTGGATGTATAATATTAAGTGCGAGATATATAATGAAAAAAATATAATTCTTTAAAAATAATAATTTTTTTAAATTAAAAAAGGTGAAGTTTTCTCTCATACAAAGCGCTTTATTTATGTGTCGCTGATTTGTCTACACTGTTTGTCTGCTTTATTTTTATATGCGTTTTGGCTTTACGATGTGTGACTACCCTAAATTGTTTTGGTAAAGAATATATAAAAATAAAACAGTGGCGCTCAAAAGTACTGTTAAAATATAAAATTTTAAAAAATTAAAAAAAAAATTATTAAAAACCATTATTTTAAAAATCAAATTATAATAAAAAATAAAAAAATAAAATAATTAAATAAATTAAAAAATAAAATTTAAAATAATATAAAAGTATCTCAAAAAAATATATAAAATTCAAAACTTAAAAGTACTGTTAAAATATTATAAAATTAAATGAAATATTTTAAAAAATTAAGTTAAAAATATGTTAAACATTTTCATAAAAATATCGAAAATTGTAAAATTAAAAGAACTGTACAAATATTATAAATTTAAATAATATAATAAAATTTTTTTAAAAATTAATATTTAAAATTTTTTATAACAACATCGAAAATTGTAATATTAAAAACACTGTTAAAATATTTTAAATTAACTAAATACTATTTATTTGCTAAATAAAAAAAAATAATTTTTTTTTAAATATGTAAAGAAAATTAAAGAAAAATATAAAAAATGTATTTTAAAACAATAATTAATTTCAGTTGCAGCTCAAGAACTAGAAGTGAAAAAAAAAATTATTTATTTATATTGAAACATAAAAAGTAAATATAAAATGGTTACAACAGGAATCTTATAAAACTAATATAAAAATAAACAACTAAAAATTTACAGTATTAATACGTATAAAAATATAAATAAATATTAAAAATTGAATGAATGAATATTGATGAAATAGAAGAAGCTAAAATATAAAAAAAATATCGAGCATAAAATATTTAGAGAAGATTATTGCGTTCTTGTCTAATTAGAGAAAATTTAATGAGAAGAGGAGATTTAGGAAGATTGTTGTATTCTTTTCTAATTAATTTTTCTCTTAGAATTTTGTTTTAATAAAAAAAAATTCATTTGTTTAAAAATATATACAAAAACATAAACCGCAAAAAAAACAATAATTCAAATAAATTATGATAAAAGTAATAATAAAAATTTATAATATAACAAAAAAATTATGCTTTAAAAAAATAATTGAATTGAAATTTAACTAAAAATTATTTTTAAAAATCGAATACCGAAAATTAATTTTAATTAGTTTTCAAACTAAAATCACAAAAAAGGATTTAAAAATTAAAAACATATTTTTAATTCCAAATAGCAGATTAAAAAATTACAAAAAAATGAATCTCAAAAATATTTTTTTTTGCAACACTGATCATATATACATAAACATAATAATAACTTAAAACAAAAAATAACTTTAAAATATTTGAAACTTTGCCACAACCTTTATACCACGTTGTATGTCTTTACTGAAAGTTTAATAGGTAAAAATATAGTCGAAGTTCGATAAATAAAAGCGAAAACTGTGCCTTTGCCCAAGAAATATCAAACAACTGTCAAATACCTGTCTAATTTACTTAAGCTCAGCGACAAATCACGCCAACGTCGACTATATTTATCTAACTGTCATTCTGTGCCAACGTAGCGCTGCTGCACCCACGCCTGTACCGTTATAGTGCCCTACACTCTGTCTTTGTCAAGCTGCGCGCTATTTTTTTCCACCCTTTTTAATAAGCTTTTTATGTTTCAATATATATTTTGTAAACTCTACTATATTTTGTGAAAATTAACTAATTTTTGTCTGTTTTTTCTTTTTTTATCACTTTCGTTTCAGGGCCTGGACAATCAGATCTATAATTATTTCTCATTTTTATAGAAATTGGTTATAGATTTTTTTAAACGAATATAAAAAAATAAACATTTTATTTATATATATTTTTTGTCCAACATTAGTACATTAGTGCTTACTAAGACGACATTAACACTTTGGAGTTGGCGATGAAGTATAATTATAAACCCTAAACAGTTTTTGGGGGGACTAACGACATTTTATGAATAACGAAATATTAACCACTTAAAAAACTTAAGCAAAAAAAGATGTTTGAATTGTACGCTAACTGAGGGGGGGAAACATAGTTAAAATGTTAAACTTTTTGTTTGCAAAAAAGAACGATAATTAATAAACAACAACAAACAAAAGGCAGGTTGAAAAAGGTAACGAAAATTATCGAATGCCAAAAAGCAGAGATAAAAATGTAAACAATTTTTAAACGAAATATAAAATTTTATAAAAATTAAAATGTATCGACTTGCAAAGAAAGAAGAACTCAACGAAAAATGCGCTAACACTTTTCTGTTCTTAACTGATTTTTTTATGAATTATACTTTTACTTGTGTATTCTTAGTTTCTTGTAATTAAGTCTTTCATTTGATGCATATTTTGAATTATTTCATCAATTTATTGTGGCATGTGTAACGAAATTTGTTAATTTTATATTAATTAAAATTATGAAAAAATCTTGTAATCACGAATGCATAAGAAATATTACTCAAACACTATAACGGTGTGACTATATCATTTTTTATGCAACATACTACATTATATATAATATGCGTATTGTCTTATCTAAACATTTTATTAGCAATTCAATTTATTTATATTTTTTGAAACAAACAAAAAACGAAATAATTTCTTTAGTGTTGTAATATTTTTATTAATGCGATGTATTTCTTGAAATAAAGGATATGAAAATTTAAAAAAAAAGAATGTAATTTACGGGGGTACGGGGTTACGGGGGTTTTAGGTTCAAGTAGGTTATGTTAAAAGGTCGATCC